AATTAGGCCTATTACCCTCCAAAAATAACAAATTAGAATAATACCCTCAAACTAATTAAGATTTTTACTCCCGTAATAAACACACTAAAAACCCACCTTTGACGTAAGTGGAGAAGATGGAAAACCCATCAACGACGTTGGAGATAAGGAGGTAGTGTCATCCAATGACTCTCCTATCACAACGTCAACTTTAATCAAAATATCATGGCAATACTTATCCAGATCCTTTCTCACAAACAAATCATGGAACCCACATAGACGCAATGGCTGATGAGGACTACGACATGGACGGAGGTATGTGCAATTTGTCAATTTTTTAATTTAATTTTATTATTGTTCTCAAAGCTTATTTATTAGGATCAGGGTTTACCTAGGGGTTTCACTAACTAGAATTTTTCAATTTTTTGTAGATACGAAGATGAGCCAATGGATCCTGAACCCGATGTAAGAAGGTTTATTTCCTTTTTGTTTGCATATTATCACTTATTAACGTTTTCGTGGTCCATCAGTGATTAATTTTACTTTTTTTTTTCTTTTGTGGCAATCGATAGAAAGGTGTAGAGTTGGAAGAAGCGAACAATAACAATGAGGATGCTCTAGATGACATTGTAGGAAAATGTCCAAGAATATTACCAAATATTTTTGTGGTTAAGTTTTACGTTTTTTGTTCTTTATATTTAAAAATCCTTATTCTAAATTCTACGTAATTGTATGAAAAATTGCGAGGGTCTATAAATGTTGCATAGTAAACTATGAATTTCGAGGGGTTCATTTGATTGGTTTGCCTTCATGAATGCTATCGATGTGTGACATTGAATAATTTTATCGCTATCGCATCTTAAATTAAACAAATAGATTGAAAACTGTTGTTATTTCTAAACTTTTATCCAAAGTTTTAACAGAGTAAAATAGATATGAATTATTCAACGAGTCTCGTCACTTTTTTTTAATGTGTCACTTTTTTGAATTTTGTCATTTTTTGAGTATTTGTCACTTTTTTTTTATTTTCTATCACTTTTTTTTAATGCATGTAACCTTTTTTTTTTTTAATTTGGGTCACTTTTTTCGAATTCGTCACTTTTTAAAAATTTCTGAAACTTTGTAAAATTTTGTCATTTTTTTTAGTATTTGTCACTTTTTTGAACTTTTGACACTTTTTTTTAGTGTTTATCACTTTTTTTTTTCAATCACCTGCTTGATTTCTATATCACTTTTTATAGTGATAAATATCATTTTTTTTTTTAATAAAAGAGACATTATATGTTATTTTTTTAATAAAAAAGTGACACTTAACTTTTAAAACTAACATTTTGTCACTTTTTCATATTAAAAAAGGACATTGTGACACTTAATTTTACACAGTATTTTTTACTTCTAAAAAACTTTTCATATGATTTTTCAAAAGACCCATAATTTTGAGGATATTTTTATAAGTTGTCCATGTATTTAAATACAGCAGTATAAAATGAAGGCTTCAAAATGTCAAGTGTGAAAAAAAAAAATACAATTGATTGAGCAAGTAGCAAAATTATAAATATAAGACCAACCAACGAATAATATTATAAAATTTAATGAAAAGGGGTTAAAATTTTACAAATATTTGGTTTTCATTTTATTATTACTATGTGAAATTAAATCAAATAAATTAAAAAAAATTAAAAATGATAACATTTAAAAACGAGTTAATTAAATTAATTGAATTTTATTTTAGCTTCCTACTTGTTCACTCAATTTTATTTTATTTTTAAAAAATTACTCACTGCTCACTTATATTTTTAAAAAGTTATCCATCAATCACACCAATTCCATCTACCCACATGGATTCCGTCAACACCATGTAGGATTTTCATCCGTCCAATGTTTTTTTTGTCCATGTACTAATTGCACCAAACGCCAAATAAGAATTAGTTAAAAGTAAAATTAATTCTTATTCAATCAAAATGCATTCGCTGCAATGAAAAATTCAGCACTTGTAATTTCAATATTGCAAAGTGGAAATGTCAACTTCAAAATTTAATGTCCACACACTAAATATGATACAGCATACAGCTGAAGTTCCAATTAGGTAAGTCATAATTTTTGAAAGATAGCTTAAAGTTCTACTTCACATGACAAAAACCATTTAGCCCAACCAAATGTTGACAAACCAATGACTCAATTTTCTCAACATTTTTCCAAGTAAATCAGTTTTTCCATAAAGTCTCTATCAAGACATGAATATTCAGGCAAAAAAAATTTAAAAGTAATTTCTTGTACAAAAATGATAAGAGTTTGTCAAGCCAAAATGGGGAAGCCACCAGCGTTCAAGTCAAAATAGGTTGTAATGCAATCCACCATTAAATGATGGCAAGCTCCAATAGATAATTTGGAGATATGAAGATGATAATAAACTCATAAATAGGAACAAATTAATCTTTAAATAGGAACTAGTTAATAGATTTCATTGTAGACCTGTCCGATCACTGTATTATAATTATGCAGAACGGCTGACAAAAGAATATATGAATACTATAACTGTTGACACACTAAAAGTACAATCCAAATTAAATAGCCCAAAGAGTGAGACTCAATTGGGGAGTTAAGGATAAATGTCCAAATAAGATTATTGATGAATGCAGAGGAAACCCATGAACACAATAATATCATCATCCAAGCTTACAAGATGTCCAGAATCTGAGCGAATTGAGTGCCTTATGGTCGCCCATAGCGATCACCTCGTTCTCGCCCAAGCCTTTGAGTTGCCTAGAATCTTAACACATGAGATATTATGGTTATCCAAAATAGCAGTTATTGAAACTGTTATCGAGCATACTTATCATATTCCATGATTCAAGGAGCTCATTCGAATGTGGTTGAACGACAAAGAGAAATGGCAGAGTTATTGAAACAGTTATCGAGCATACTTATCATATTCCATGATTCAAGGAGCTCATTCGAATGTGGTTGAACGACAAAGAGAAATGGCAGCAGTTAGAGGTGGCAGTTCCACAACAATTTAGCCACCATGAAGAAAGTTGGTAATTATAAAGCAATCAAACAGTTTTCAAGCGGTTTGTCACGAAAAAATCATCATGAGAATATAAAAAGGAAGAGAAGACATAGAGAAAAGACCCTCGAACCAAACACTCTCAAACAGAGAATATGTAATTTCAATTTTTTAGATTAACTTCAATTATCACTTTTCAGTACTCGTGTACTTGCGTCCCTTGGAGACATTCAGTTTATTTCCAATTGTAACTCTCATCAATAAAGCACTCCTTTTTGAGACTTTGTTTTAAGAGGTTTGCCCCTTACACAATCGTTTGAATTCTTTTTTAATTGTTAGCAACTACCCGCGCGAAACAATAACAAAAACAATATTAAAGGATTTGATAAGTTTGAAAACGAAAGATTTTCTCTACCAACTATGTTTTATCAAGTTGAATCTAAGCAAAATCTTTAACTACCTTGGTTCATATTAACACCTATAACTCAAAGTTTTCAATTTGGATTTTTCTTGGTTGAAAATTTTCACATTTTGGCACACTCCAGAAACCTGAATTTTCACACAAAATTTGCACTGGCAATAAAAAAATTGTGATCAACCTTGTAGTGGAAAGTCAAGAGCTGTTGCCTACCTAGCTGAAGCTCTTCAAGAATCTAAAACGAAGCCATCAGTTAGAATCATCAATGAATTTCAGAATTTCAGATTTGGGGTTAACTGTTAAGGGCTTCACCTATAGTGCCGATTGTCGAAGAATCGTCGGTTCCCAGCGGTCGCGGACTCGCCGTCTAGGGCTCGAACTGTCGAATAGGGACGGAGGCTCAAGCGAGCAGGAGCAGCAACTGGTTCAGCCATTCTTCTTGAAGGAGTGGGTAATGAGTATTTCAAATGTGAGAAAGAGAGGAGCATCGGATATGGGACCGGGAAGCGGAGGCGATGAATTGAAATGGGAATTTCTGGCCGCCCCATTTGGAATGAAATGGATTGGGCATTTGGGCTGTGCCTAATTGCTTTGGCCGGGTATTGAGTTGGGCATGGGCTAGACATAAGTTATTTATTGGAGTACTTACAAAAATACCCTTAAAATTAGAAATATTTTGAAAAATCATATGAAAGTTTTTAGGAATTAAAAAATACTGTTTAAAATGAAAAAGAGACATAATGTCACTTTTTAATACGAAAAAGTGACACAATATGACTTTTAAAAGTTAAGTATCACTTTTTTATTAAAAAATAACATACAATGCCACTTTTACTAAAAAAATGATGTTCATCACTATAAAAAGTGATAGAAATCAAGAAGGTGATTGAAAAAAAAAAGTGATAAACACTAAAAAAAAAAGTATTAAAAATTCAAAAAAGTGACAAATACTAAAAAAAAACAAAAATTTAAAAAAGTTACAGAAATTTTTAAAAAGTGACAAATTCGAAAAAGTGACAAACTCAAAAAATGACAAAATTCAAAAAAGTAACACATTCAAAAAAAAGGTGACAAATTCTCAAAAAGTGACGAAATGAAAAAACAAAAATTGTGACTACACTAAAAAAAGTGATATAAATAGTATAATGGTGATATTCTCATTGAATAATTAATATATATTTTACTTTGCATGTCACTTTGGATAGAAGTTTAGAAATAGCAACAGTTTTCAGTCTATTTTTTTTAATTTAAGACGTGATAACGATAAAATTATTCAATTTCACACATCGATAGTTTTCATGAAGGCAAACCAATCAAATTAAACCCTCGAAATTCATAGTTTACTATGCAACATTTATAGACCCTCATGATTTTTCATACAGTTACGTAGAATTTAGAATAAGAATTTTTAAATATAAAAAACAAAAACTTTTTTTTTTCTTGCCCGCCACAACAAATCTATTTAGAAGGTTTTAAAAGAAAACCAGAGATCATGCAAAGTAAAAAATGACAGTATATAACAACAAAAGAACAAGTAGACAAAATTCCAGCACGCTAAGAGTTATTCAAAGTTTCTGCTTACTACAGGATTGGAAATCAGATTGAGCCTCCACTTAGCAACTCAATGAGCTCTTGTTTTTTCATCTTTGAGAATCCTTTCAAACCACGAGATTTCGCAAGAGCTCTCAACTCGGAGAGCTTCATTCCACTTAGATTGGTTATGATCGGGTTCACTTCTTCCGCATCATCCTTGTTGATTTCAAAAATTTCCGAAGTTTCGTCTTCTGATATCTGATCTAACACGTCATTTGAGAATCCTTTCAAACCACGAGATTTCGCAAGAGCTCTCAACTCGGAGAGCTTCATTCCTCTTAGATTGGTTATGATCAGGTTCACTTCTTCCGCATCATCATTGTCCGTTTCAAAAATTTCAGAAGTTTCGTCTTTCGATGTCTAATCGAACATGCCCCATTCTGAAAACATTGGCTCTACATCAGGTTCAGCATTAGATTCCATCTCTTTGCTTTTCCCATCTACATTGCCACGTGAGAGAGAATTAATAGAGCCCTCATCTGAGTAAATGGGTTGGAATTTGACTTGAGGCACTGGAGACCTTTTACGGAAGTTAGATGCTGGCCTGGTAACATGTGGTTGGCTTCGTTGCATCTCTTACTTCACATTGTTAGAGTCTACGATGCTTGTGCTTCTGTCTTCAGCAAACGCACCTATCTGTTCATATGGGTTTTGAGCGTGTTTATTACGGGAGTAAAAAATCTTAATTAGTTTGAGGGTATTATTCTAATTTGTTATTTTTGGAGGGTAATAGGCCTAATTATCCCTTCTTAATATACATGGAAAACTTCACGCCTAGTCTCTCGATTTGTTAAGTGCGCATGGTACAATTGATCTAGCCTCGGGTTTTGCCTAATTGGGTGTTGAGCACTCAAGGGGTTTAAGGCCACCTTAGCCCGAATTATACCTTGTTTAATTCTCTTTAAATTAAAACTCTTTATTTCTTATACTCATTTTCAAACACATATTCATCACAAAAAAAGGCACAAACCTAATACTTTTCCCTGATATTTAACCACACATTTTCAAAAAATCACTATTTAAAATATAATTTTCCCCATGCTATTTCTAATGGCCATCAAACAGGGGCTCAAATGCACTAATGTTGGTTCTTCTCTCACGCTCATCTTGAAGTCGATGTCTTTGCTTGTTTCACAATACTTATCTCATTTTAAGTTTTTAAAACTTTTTCTTTAAATAGTCTATTTATCTCATGTTACAAATCATTTTGTTTATAACAAGATCATACAAAACTGTATGTGAACATGAACCTCAACTCAACAAAAGTATCAAAGATAGCCATAAATATGAGAGACCATGATAGTATAAAAAAATTATTATGTAATTTTTATTAATTAACATTGTCAAGCGTTATGAACAAAATGAAAATACTTTAAAATCTCTCAGTTTCAATATACTCAAGAAACGAGCATTGATATGAACTACCTGTAAATTACAACATCCTTCGTAATCTATTTTTCCTTCTATTTTTAAGTGTTTTCCCAGGGTTGCTATTGAAAATAGAACAAGTAGGTCCCAACCTAATATTTTGGCAACCTCAGTCCCAACCTTTCATTTCTATACTATTTGAGATTTAATTGAAGAGTTTACCTAGTGTTTAATTAATTACTCTATTTTTAAGAGTTAATTAAATGATTAATACTAATATTTATCTGTGAATATTACTTGCTCACTCAAAAATGTAAAAGTTATTGGTTGCTCACTCACTTTTACATAACGTTACTCATCCATCATCTATTTAAATTCCGTTTGTCCACATGGCAAAAAAATCTTATGTGGCGTATGAAAATACTACGTGGCAGCTAACAGTGCTAAAATTTGTGAGTAAATTCAATGGGTAATCACTAACATTTATCTTTTATTATTGCTGGTTCACTTAAACATAAAAGGTTATCGATTACCCACTCGTATTTTTACAATTTTACCCATTCACTATCCATCTCAATTTTGTTTTTATACCATTCAATTAGTTATATTATTTTTGAATTGATTTTTGCAAATTACGTTACTTAACTATTTTCTTCGTTTTTTCTTCTATAAAAGTTATTTTCGCTTGTATTGTCTGATGTGTTTATATCATTTACGTGGATTTGGATATTGTCATGACACAAGATCATAGACTCCCACCTAAGTAGCCTTATGTTTTATATGGCTCCGTATCCGTTCTCTAATTCTTCATCTTGTCAAACAGAAAATAAAAAATTATTTTATCAAGAAAACAGTAAACAAAATTAAAAAAAGTATAGAAGAAAACATTAAAGTGAATGGATTTATGGAAAGAAAATCAAACAAATTCCTAGAAGAAACAATCAAAGAGTGAATAAATAAAAAAACAATTCGAGAAAAATATAATACATTAAAAAATGAGGAAAATAAAAATCATAAAAATAGACTAGACAGTAAAAAATGAAAATAATTATTAGTTGGTGGAATAAAAACCACGAGAATTATAAAAACAAGCCGGACAATAAAAACCGAAAATAGATTTTCTAAAAGAAAAAATGATGAAAATAGAGTTGAGCAATGTAATTTGCAAATAGTAACTAATAAATGTTTTTTTAATTTTAAGTGAGCAAACAATAGCCAAAGATAAATGTCAGTGATTACTCAATTTAATGAATTTTTAAATTTTAACATTATTAATTGTCACGTATGATTTTTATTTGTTATGTAGAATTTTTTTTGTCATGTGGATGAACGGAATTTAGATAGATGGTGGATGTGTAACAAAATTTCCAGTGTACACAAGGCAGCTCTCACATCATGATACCGCTAGTTGTGCCAAAAGTTTATACGTAAAGGGAGGGAAAAAAAAAGAAAAAAAAATCTTTAGCAGCCCGCTGAGGTCGGACAAAAGACCAACACGTCTCTATCAAAACCTCAAAAGCTGCTGAAAAAATTGCCTTCTCATCAACCCCTGGAGCTCAAAAAGGCGACACAAGTTTCCAATTCAAACCCAAACTCTGTATTATCCCTTCTCCACGTACAGGTTCACAAATGCCTATAAAGGCATAATATTTACCTGTTCAAATTAGAGGCCATTTCCTTTTCCATTACAATGGCTCTTGTAACCAGAATCCCTTCTCTTTCTGCATCTTGTTCTGCTTCCTGTTCAACTGCGAACAACCAATCAAGAAAATCCAATTCTTTTAGATTCACACCAGTTTTTTCCATTAACTGTTCATTACATTCACAAGAAACTTCGCCTTTTACTGAAAATCACTCTGTTGAAAGGTACGAAAGAGATAGCTGGTTGTACAAGTACCAGCTACAGAATTCCTTATCTTCCTCTTGCCCAGTTCCTCCTGATCTTGAATCCATCAGAGAGTATGATATTGCATTGCAGCTCCCGGAGCTAAAGAAATTGTTAGAAGTTTTGAGAGAAAAGAGAGAGAGTGAAAATAGGGCTCAGAGAAGGTGCCCTGGAAATGTTTTCTTGGTGGGGACAGGGCCTGGGGACCCTGAGTTGCTGACAGTGAAGGCATTGAGGGTGATAAAGAGCGCTGATCTATTGTTGTATGATAGATTGGTGTCTAATGATGTGTTGAATTTGGTGTGTCCGAGTGCTAGGCTTCTCTATGTTGGCAAAACTGCTGGGTACCATAGCAGAACCCAGGTTGGTTTTATGGTGTACTTGTGCATCTTTGCATCTTTCATTGTGTTAGTTTGGTGCTTTTGAGAATTGGGTGCGAAGGAACTTTGGAGTTTTGAAGTGGGTTTTTGCAAAAAGTTCAAAACTTTGATAAATTGAGACCATATTTGTGATTCGAATTTGATTTTTTTATTCATTTCTTTTAATTTTGGCTACTAAAATTTGCCATCCTAGGAGAATTTGGTATTTTATATTTTTGGGGATTTGTACTAGAACTTGGATGTTGGAGTAAAGAGGGGTTTACCAACTTGATTTGGCTAAGACTTGATAGGAAGGACAATACTAATAGGAAGAGGTAAATAAAATGTAACTTATATTTCAACTTCAACACTTAC